AGAAAAAATAACTGACAGAGTCATTGCATACCATAATTGAGCAACTAGGTTGGACTGAACACTCTCCTGGTATCCTGTACTAATGACTGAGGAAGGCAGATAAATACAGTAGCATATTCTTGAAAAGGCAATTGACAACAAGCTAGAAAGCATGATTTTGACTTCATAAAATACACCTATTTTATATGAAAAATATTATCAATGGCTAGGTTCATATTGTGGCATTCTGGGTAAATTTTTCCCCTTTTTCCTACATTTCTTTATAGTGTACTAGTATTTCATTAATAATAAAGGAAAAGCTAAGTGACATGGTCCTCCTTGAAAAGTTTATAAAAGAGGTAACAAGATAAAAACCATATAAACACTACCAAAAGAAAGAAGAAAATTAAATAAAGTACTATGATTTTTGCATCACGAAGAGTTTTTTTTAGATTATAGGGTAGAAAAAATTAATAAAACTATACCTTATGTGCTGACTTCTATTGTTCTCCCAATACATGTGCTAAATTGAATAGTTTGAAGGGAAAATATAAAAGTAGTATTGCCTTGCCTAAATTTCCTGTATAGGTAGATTTGTCTGCACAAATTATTTTCTAAACTCCTTAGTTTTGCCCCTATGCCTTTTATAATCTCACTGGAAGGCCTGCCAGTCCCACCACTGGTCACTCCTCTCATTGCCCATCCAGTTCAGCCCTCCCACCATACTCTTGCTTCTCCTGAATACCTGTGATCTTGCCCTCATGAACAGGCCCTCCTCGGTCTGGAGGGCCTATCTCCTACTGAATCCCTACCAGAACCAGCTCAACTGGAACCCTGCTGTCCGTAACCAAGCACAGAGAATAGAGTTGCTCCCTATGGCTCTATAGCTCTTCTACATTCACATACAGTATTTATCATGTTGCACAGCAATTATGCTTATTTGTGTCTCAGTTTACTCACCAGATTATATGCTCTTTAAAATAGGGACTACACCTTATTACTCATTGTATTTTCAGTGTCTAGCACAGCCGTGGGCAAACTACGGCCCGCGGGCCAGATCCGGCCCGTTTGAAATGAATAAAACTAAAAAAAAAAAAAAAGACCGTACCCTTTGATGTAATGATGTTTACTTTGAATTTATATTAGTTCACACAAACACTCCATCCATGCTTTTGTTCCGGCCCTCCGGTCCAGTTTAAGAACCCATTGTGGCCCTCGAGTCAAAAAGTTTGCCCACCCCTGGTCTAGCATATAAGTGCTAGACATAAAAGTGCTCAATGAACATTTGGGAATTAAGTGAATGAAGAAGCACAAAACAAGGTAGACTATATTGTGGAAAACAAGTGAGATTTGGTTGCATATAACAGACTTAATTCATCTGTGGTGAATAGAATAAACATTCTAATATATATTTTTTATATAATCTTATTACCTCTTCAAGGCATTAAATAATACAGTAATCCTATATAATAAAGAGGTAATATGCAAATTGACCATCATGCCCTCATACAAGATGGCTACCCCCATGTGGTCACAAGATGACCGCCCCCATGTTGACACAAGATGGTCACCACAAGATGGCCAGCAGGGGAGGGCAGTTGTGGGCAATCAGGCCAGCAGGGGAGGACAGTTAGGGGCGACCAGGCCTGCAGGGGAGGGCAGTTGGGGGCAACCAGGCAGGCAGGGGAGGGCAGTTGGGGGTGACCGGGCCGGCAGGGGTAGGCAGTTGGGGGTAATCGGGCTGGCAGGGGAGCAGTTAGGTATCAATCAGGCTGGCAGGGGAGTGGTTAGGGGGTAATCAGGCTGGCAAGCAGAAGTGGTTAGGGGCAATCAGGCAGGCAGGCAGGCAGGCGAGTGGTTGGGAGCCAGCAGTCCTGGATTGTGAGAGGGATGTCCGACTGCTGGTTTAGGCCCGATCCCTGTGGGATCAGGCCTAAACCGGCAGTCGGACATCCCCTGAGGGGTCCCAGATTGGAGAGGGTGCAGGCTGGGCTGAGGGCCTCTAGTTTATTTGTGCAGTGGGCCTCTAGTTTATTTGTAAAAATCCAAATTCACTTTTAAAAATGCAATATTTCTTACATTGGGGGCTGGAGACTGAAATGTGCCACTGAAATATGTCACTTCTCTTTTCTATAACTTTCCTTTAATCCTGGGTTTTTATATCAATAGGGTGGGACACTCTAAAGTCCTGGTTTATCCAACATGGGTAAAAATAGCCTAAGTTTTATTGGGAACTGTCAGGGAAAAATGGCAACTAGAACATCTGGATTTTAAGTCCTATTTCTTAGCAATGTCACTTTGAAACTACCCAGCTACACAGAGAAAAAAATAGGACCTATTTCCTTGGGGGCTTGGTGAGGATTAACTGAGATAATACATACAAAGTACCTAGAACAGAATGAAAGCACAATCAATGGTGGCTATTGATGTTGTTATTGTGGCTGTTGTTCTTAAGAACACCATTTATTAGCTGTGTGACCTGGACAAGTTAAGGAGAGTTCATTGATAGAAACTATTTCTTGCATGCCAGAGGTGCTAAGTAAGTGTTAGCAATGATGACTGTCGTTATTAATGATACTAGAGGCCCGGTGCACAAATTTGCGCATGGGTGAGGTCCCTGGCCTGGCTGGCAATCAGGGCCATTCAGGTCTGGACCAATCAGGGCCAGGCCGATCAGGGCCTGCTGGCCAGGGGGAGGGACCAGCCGGGGGGATGGACCGTGGGAGGTTGGCTGTGGGAGCACACTGAACACCAGGGGGCAGCTCCTGCATTGAGCATCTGCCCCTTGGTGGTCAGTGCACGTCATAGCAACTGGTCAACCAGTCGTTCCAGTTGTTCGGTCATAACAGTCTCTTAGGCTTTTATATATATACTAAAGGCCTGATGGACAAAATTCATGCACGGGGGGTGGGGGAGGTCCCCTCAACCCAGCCTGCACCCTCTCCAATCCGGGACCCCTCAGGGGATGTCCTAAACCGGCAGTCGGGCATCACTCTCACAATCCGGGACCACTGGCTCCTAACTGCTCACCTGCCTGCCTGCCTGATCACCCCTAACTGCCCCCCTCTGCCAGCCTGGTTGCCCCATGCAGCCTGCTGTTCAGTCGTTTGGTTGTCCCTCACTAACCCCCCTGCTGACCTTGTTGCCCCATCCAACCTGCTGTTCGGTCATCTGTTCAGTTGTTTCAGTCGTGATGGCCCCTGGCTTTTTATATATTAGGATAGATTACCATGAGGATCAAAGGATCCAATATATGTGACAGTCTTTTGAGGCTGTAACCTGTTAGACAAATATGAGACATTTTTCAGAGGATTTTAGACTTTTAGACATACAGGCCTGCAGAAAGCATCTGACGACCAAGAAACAATCCAAAGTTTGAACTAAGCATTTCTAAAGTCAAGTACTATGTTAAGGCTTCACAAAAATATGTTTTCCCCTTACTACCATACTCTAAAGTAGACATTTATCCCCATACAGGTACAATGGGAGAGAAACCTGCATCAAAGGACACGTGTCCTAGTAAGGGTGTAAATGAATCTAATTCATGTCTGCTGACTCCAAACAAAACAGGGCTCTTGCTCATTCTGCCAGGTTGACTTCCAGCTGTATCCTGTGTCACAGCATCCAATGGCCCCTTCCATTTGGCCTAGTAGAACTATATCAACAAAACTAATCAACAAAAACAAAACAATTTAACAAAATAATATATTTCATGATTTATCCATTTATTCAATACACCCTGATTAAAGAGTTATTAAGTGCCTGAAAGGAGGCAGCTTCCTAGGCCAGCCTCTAAAGAAGATAAATTAAACAGATGCTGAAATGCACAGCTCTTCTACTTCCTTGTCCAAATCATGAAAACCTGTGCTCGTGTGTCACCAGGCAAAGAGGCAGGGCCTCAGAGATGGCAGTTCATAGGAAACCCATTGAAGAGGAGCAGTTCTAGGCCACATCTCCTATTGGCTGGGCAGACCACTGGATCCCAAACCACTATGGTTATTTCAGCCTGCACTTCCCTCAACTGTTGCTCCCTCTTTTGCCCTGTGCCTTTATATACACCTACCTTCATCCACCAGGCCTGCCCCCGAATTTATCAAAGTTCTCTTGGAACCTCCCCTAATGAGCACTTCTCCTTTGTTCTTCCATAGCACCCTGGACTTATGTATCTCACAGCATAATTATCTGGTTACTTCTTTCTCTTTGTAGCCCTTGTGTTGCCAGCAGCAGCATTATTTTCTGCAGTCACCACAACTTTTATTATTATTGTTGTTTGTTAATCCTCACCCAAGGATATTTTTTCCCCATTGATTTTTTTAGAGACAGTGGAAGGGAAGGGTAGATACAGACAGAGAGAAACATTGATGTGAGAGAGACACATCAATTGGTTGCCTCCCGCACCTACCCCAACCTGGGCAGGGGATCTAGCCTGCAACGGAGGTAGGAGGTACGTGCCCTTGACTGGAATCAAACCCAATGACCCTTCAGTACGCGGGCTGATCCTCTAACCAAATCCAGCTAGGGCAACACTTAATTTTTAAAATACGTTTTCAATACTAAAATGAATAATGTTTTTAAAAAATTAGAAAATTTGGCCACCATGAGTCCCACAACAAAGCAACATGAGCTAGAGCTGAGCATCAGGTATTCCTTACAAAGAGAAACATTTACTTTGTAGGCTCAGTTTCCACCATTTCCTATTGTCACACTGGGCTCCCTTCATTTTATCACCAACCAAGACATTGGAGTTTGCCACCAGCTATTAGGGTTTGAGGATTTAATGACAAGAAATGTGATCTTGCTCTAGAACTGTAATTCACCCAAAAAATGTGCCCTATACCTGTTGAATGAATGAAAAAAAAATCATTAATTAGGGCTAATATTTTACTTCAGGGTCATTGTAATAACTAAAACAATATATGTGAAAATTATGTGCACCTATAACTTGAGATTGAAATATAAGTTACTGTGATAGAACACAACTTTGGTCAGGACCCCATTTCTTGTAAATAGTGCAATAATAATCACAATGATCACTAAGGAGGGAGATCTGGTATTTATCTTTCTAATTTTAACAAATCAGTAACCTTTCTGAGAAGGATTTTTATTTTTGATCTTATAATTGACCCAAATATATGACTCAGAATAATTCCAATAACCTGGATAATTTTTCAGAATAAATTAATTTTATTTTTCCATTCTTTGAAAGCCATTGGATTTATTATCGAACATGTAGTGCATGCAACAGGTAATAGTTTTTTCTAGTAAAACTATATTAACATTATGTAATGCAATATATCCAACTCAGACATTTTTCCAATATGCAATAAGCTAAAATATTTTTTAAATCAACATTAAAGTAAACCAGCAGGCTTACAATTTATAAAATCAGCATTGAAATAAAGCTTGTGCTATACATACAGAATTTTACATTTTAATGGTGGAGTATAATAATAAATGGCGAAGAAATAATGTCAGTCCCATATACTAAGAAAATTAAAAAAGAATTAGAACAATAACTCCTATAGCCTCTAGTTATTCTGTACCTTAGCCTGCAATTTCACTGTATTCTGAAAATTGTTCTTCCTACATCATGGAGTTGGCAGCCCTTTTTGTAGCCTAGGAAGCTCGCAAAGGTGTGCTGTAATAAAAATAGACATATTGTTGTTTGCTGGGAAATGAGAATGATTTTCCTTTTTTTCAAATCATGAAATATTTTTTTACTAAATCTCTACATGCTCTAAAATGTTCTTTTGCCAAATACAATATCTTCAATTCCCCCAAAGTTCAAACACATTAGGGACTGCTCAGTGTCAGGCTCCAATAATTTTTTCTTAACAGAACTTAAACTACGATAGAGTTTTGAAACTAATTCCTTTTATTTCTCTGAGTTGCAGACTCTATCATCTTTGCCTTAGTAAAATAACTATAATACAGTGTTCTTGAAATGTTCAATAAACAAGCATATTGTAACTAAGGTACTTTTCCCCAAATTCATAAATGTTTATCCTAAAATATAAATAGAACAATTGCAGCATTAAGGACTAAAGGCACCTCAAGCATCAGCCCAATCTATTCTAAGAGAATTGTGCACAAGCATTTCTAAAACACAGCTGTTTAAATTTTTATTTTAGAAGTGAGTCTGGATAGATTCCAAAATCACTCTCTGCAACATGTATAGTGTTCTTCTCCAGTATAAGTAGCCCCCATTCTTTTAGAATTTCCTCATATTAGACCCAGCTAAGGCAACTCAAGAGTGGCCAAATAACATTTCATTTTCGGAGATACAAGTCCCTTTGTCTTCTATAATTGCTGATATGTAGTTGTTCTCTTTTTAAAATCTAGGTTTTAAAACTTTAGTTTAAAAGGTACATATTCTGTGATGTGTGGACAAGAAGATAACCCAATACTGTTTAAACATCTTACTTTTAAATGTAAACATTTTAGACAGATAAAATACGAAAATACAATGAATGGACTCACTGCCCAACCAGTAAATCATGAAAAGAAGTTGTGTTCATATTGCTTTATTGTTCTTTTTCTTCAGCTAGAAAGTTGCTTTAAAAAGGCTATGATCTTTACTAATTAGCTGCCATGTGATAAACGTATTTAACTGCTCCTGGTGTACATATACTCAAGGTAGGTATTCTTACTCAACCTGAAGTCAACACAGAGATTGCTGGCCTTCTCCAGAATTTTAAATACTTGATTTTATATATTGATTCATCAAATTGAAAAGGATTTGCCTTTTTCCTATATTAAAATGCCTGCAGTTTTTCCATGTTGTGTTAATTTTTGAATGGTAGTACTGATTAGTCACAGGGGATTGGGTTATGGGTGAGTTCAGAGATTGAAATAGGTTAAAAAGGAGAATCAGCCCAGCCAGCATGGCTCAGTGGTTGAGCAATGACTTATGAATCAGGAGGTCACTGATTCCCAGTTGGTCAAGGTCGAGGTCCAGGCTCCATCATCCCCAGTGGTGGCGTGCAAGAGCCAATCAATTGGTGATTCTCATCATTGATGTTTCTATTTCTCTCTCTCTCCTCCTCTCCCTTCCTCTCTGAAATCAATAAAACAACAACAACAACAAAGGAGAATCAAATGAATGTTAATAGAATTCCTCACTTATGTTTCAGAATGCCTCACTAGATTCATATATTAGAGCTAGTAAATTAAAGTAATATATTAAGCACAATATGTGACTACTACATCTCTCAATTCTTTTCCCACCCAGTCTTCTGGGTAGGAAAGGCACATTACATTGCATTTTCAAGTGCATAAAAAGCCTTTATATGTCCTTAACTTCACATTCAAGATCTTGCCTGAACTCAAGAGTCAAAAGACACTCCCATCAGGCCCTGGCCCGGTAGCTCAGTTAAAGTGTCCTCCCAATATGCCAAAGTTGCAGGTTTGATACCCCGTCAGGGCACATACAAGAATCAACCAATGAATGCATAAATGAGTGGAACAATAAATCAATGTTTGTTTGTTCTCTCTCTCTCTCTCTCTCTCTCTCTCTCTCCCCCTTCCTCTCTCTAAAATCAATATTTTTAAAAAATATTTAAAAATTGAGAACTTCAAAGAACTTAAAAAAAATGACACTCCATCAAAGAAACAAACAACTGCATGAATGCCCCAGAAAATATTAACACAACATCCCAAAGTTAGCACTAACTATGTGGCCTCAGTAATAAAGTAAATGTCAATAGGACATTTTCATGGGCTAAAAAGTAAAGAATTTACAGAGCTCATGATAACACACCATGCATTAATGTTAAGGCAATATTTTTAAAATGAAATGGCATCTCTGTTTTGTATTATTTCAGAACAACTTGATAAATATTATGCAAAGAAAAATTCTTAAGTACCCACATCTCTGTGAATAATAATGTTAAAAACTGTTTACTACAGTAGGACTCAATTCTCACCTCCTCTAGTTACATATCTTTAAATCAGATAATAAACAGTGCTTGAAATAAAATAATTTTTAAGTTACATTGAAAGTAGCATTGGCAAAAATGCCTAAGGTGAACCTGCACAACAGAAAACATATTGAGTAAATCCCAAACTAATGCAATATAATCCTCCCTTTTGCATAAAGTATCTGATCATGACAAAAAAACAACATATTAAAGTAAATTTGTGTGTTTGCATAAGAAAACTGTTTCCTGTTTACATAAAGAAATCATCTTCTAGTAAAGAAAAATTGTCACTGGAGTCAAAACCACAACTTCATAAATATTTTGAGTTGAACTGTTTCAATTAAAGAAATACCGAAGAGTGCTTATGGTTTTGTTTGAAAATTGAGTCCTTTTACTAAATGCAAAAAAAGGTGACATGGATTTCTTACAATGGTAAATGTAGGTTTGATGCATAGTTCTCTACCATCAAAACAGACCACTGAAGAGTAGTAGCTAAATTTCTATTCAATGAAATGGCATCAGAAGGCTGTGAAAGCTGACCTCTCTTATCTACCAGTATTCTATGCTCTACCCATCATCACAGTACTAAGAAATAGGCTTACATTTGCGAAACTTTCTTTTTCCGCACAATGAACATGTTTATGGACCACTTACAAATCGTGTAAATGTTCTCTTTCTACCTCCTCAGCTATAACTGGGTAGTCTGGGCCTGCACACAGCTTCCTCCTGAGAAGTGCGCTCTGGCGCGGGTTGGAGGTGTCTCCGGCAGGGGCCCAGCGCAGTCGATTAAAGGCCAGAGTGAAGCCGCACGCAGATTGATTTATGTACTTACACACGCCTGCCTTAGAAGCAGATTTATATTTACAAGATCCCTGGAGAGAAAGACTAAGTCCTGTCATTCCGGACGCCAAAGAGACCGGAATATGTTCACACCCTCTAGTCCCTCCAGCAGCTGCGATCGAAGCTCCTGCGTCTGGGGAGCCTCCTTCCTCCGCAGTCCCAGGTTGTCACTCCTTCCCGGGGTCGCCCTCGCCCAGCTCAGTCCTCCTACCCCCCTACTCTGCACCAGAGCAACCCTAGCTTGCCCCTTTCCTCCGTCGGGGTGCTGCCCCCTCTTAGGGCCGCCATCTCGCAAGGGTCCGGCGGGGCAAGGGCTATGTACTGCTGCGCAGCGCGGCACAGCCCCCGGTAAGCCGGCACCTACCTT